GAATCACATGTTGAGCTGCAAGGAAAGGAAGTGTGCAGGCCTCTTGTGTGAATGAAAAGAATGTCCTCTACTGCCTTGAGGGATGTCGCTCATCCATTTTTGTTCTGTTCCAGTCTTCGGCTTTGTATCTATTGCGGTGTGATTCACTTATTTTGTGCAGTCTTGCTTGTTGCTATGCAACTGGTTGTTTTCTAGGCGTCAGACATTCCTCTCGAAGGATACAATGTCTGTAGTGTGTAGGTATTCAACGGCTGTGGGTGGTTTCTTTTTTTTTCTTGCATTACTGCAGCAGAATTCATTTTTTTGTTCTGGACAAAATCATTTTCACGTTGTCAGTCTTGCTAAGCACACTTTCTATACCTTTTAGGCTTGTTGCCTTGGAGATGATTTTCTTGCTTAGCTGGTTTAGTCTGTTTCGGCCCATTTGTTTGAGAAAGTGTAATGTTACTGACAGACATAGCTGTTGACCTGCCTGCCATGTCTTGAGTCCATAGTACAATTAGAGACCTCATGAAGATGAATTCACGTCATTTATCTCCGCGTCTCTGGCCCTCCTGATCTCTTTGTGTTTGTGGTATGTGCACTACATTCTGGTAGACATTTTGCCTCATTTTTAGACAAATACAGACTTGCGAACGAGCCTCAAGCTCTTCTTTTGAGAGGGACAGAAGGGAGAATGCAACAAGTTGCCACAGGTTAACTGTCCTGCACGGCTCCACCCTGGTGATCCCACTGCCTTCACCTCATGGTTGTTGTTTCCAGTTAACCTGTTTATTGTCAGTGTTAACAGTTACAAGGATCTAACTCTATGCAAATTCCATTCCAGTCTTGTGTTATCGGATGTTTATGCAGGCTCGAGGCAATTTACACACTCTGAATTCCTAATTGTGTATATCAGACATGGGCGGCATTAACACCTCAAAGGGTGCTACATTTGACACCCTCGTGCCCCTCTCGCTCACATTGGTCATACCCCAACAGAGCTGCCTGCGGCCGAGGTGAGGAATGTGAAGAACGCCTTGCTCTCTGGTCAAACTGTCGTCTCCTCTGCCGAGCCCGGGTTGATCAGGAGGTCGACCTCAAAGAGCTTAGCCAAAGAGGTACTGGGGCTTCATGGTGTGTTGCTGTAATTCAACCGTAGAAGCTACCATTTCGATTTTAAGCATAAGATTATTTGTTTCGTTTGTGCAGGTGATCAAATAGTGTTGATGGAAAACTGAGAGTAATGCAAGAGCTTGTGTTGGAATAGTTGCAGCATGCCTGAACCAGAGGTATCATGCGGGATGTGCTGTGAAATCTCTGAAGTGTTGGGGTTTAAAGGCCGAGTGCTTGGCTCTCGTAGATTATCTTAATCTTTGCGAGCTCTGTCACACAAGCCTCTGCATGGACGCTTACAAAACATGAATATATGCTTATCATAAATGTTCTATTCACATATTTCTAATTGCTTGTATAGGCAAGAATAGTGAAGTCTTCGTCTGTAATAGTCAACGCCTTCTCACACCAGGTCACTTCTGAGATTCAGATAAATACGTTGGTAGTTAACCGTGAAAATATAAGAGATGCCTGGTCGCAGTCTCCTCCCTCCTTCTCTTACACGTAAACCAGAAGCTATGTTTGCATGTCATTTTACAGCATTATAGTAGTCAAGTAAACATCTGGAAGCACAGTGTTTCATAGTGTAACACCCATCCATTGGTAATGTATCATAGAGTAGACGCTACCAAAGAGGTACAGCCCCAATTGATGTTGAAATGGTATGGACATGACAGAACTGGTTTGAAAACACTCTGGGTGACATGCATTTTTGTGGGTGTGCACATGTTTTAACTAGACTGAGCATGACCTGTAGCTCTTTGGATCTTTCAAATGGGAAGTAATAAATGCACTGTTAATGAAGAAACTAAAGCGTTTACTTTGAATAGTTTGCTAGTGTTATCTTAGCAATCCGTTTGCTCTTTGTCGGACTTGTTCCTGTTGCTACACCTGGTCATCAGTGTGTGTCCTTCCTGCTTTAATGACATCCTGTTCCTATACTGTCTTCAGGAAATCACGTACAGAAAAAAAGTCTGCTGAACTCTGTAGTAATACACGTCTCTCTGCTTTCTATATTTGCATTATGAGGCAGACAATATCATGTCTGCCTCATAATGCAAATATGTCATGATTTGTGATCAACTAAAGGAACATTTAAAAACTGATTCCTCTGCAGAGGCGAGGTCACCAGTCTCATATTTAATGGGAATGTTATCTGATACTGGATGGTGGCTCATAAATCCCTATTGACAGCAGTGTCAAAGTCTACTGTTTTTACACGGGGTATATTTCAGGGTGTGTTCAGCCGTGAGGTTTAGACGAGATCTTGCGATGTTCACATACTACACGTACACGCACGCAGAGTTCATTCTCACATACACTGGACTTTGATCACTAAACTTGGAGTTGGAGAATGTGTCACAGCCCAACTCTGTCAAGTCAGGTGACGGCATGGTTACGGGCCTAATATTTTCATACAGCGCAGAGTTGCTTCCTGTGATTTGTACTGATGTCCAGCCATTGTCGGGCTGCACTGTTAACTTACGTGTTCTCAACGAATATGAACAGACCACTGAGCGATGAATCATGTTAATGGTGTTGCAGTCACACCACTGTGGATGTGCACTGTGACCGCAGCAGACTTGAAGTGCTCTTTATCTGCTGTAGCAGAGGCAGAAACTGTCTAAGAGCAGGAACGCCTGAGCAACATGACACTCGTATCCGGGACCCGACTGTCCCTCTGAGCCCAGATCACCATCCTCTGCTCGCCTCTGGCTTTTGTTTCTTACTCTGTGAGATTCAAGATGTGGTTCTTCTTAGAAACTAACAAAAGTCCATTTTTACACAGCAGGACGTAGATATATCGCTACTGATGGACCGTATTATACACCTATCCAGTCAAAGTGTTGTCAAGCCTGGTCACAAATACCTAGTTTACAGTGTTTTGTATATATTTTGGCATTAAGTTTCGCATGAATGAATGTAACCTTTATCGGCCTCCGAGTTTACAGTATTGTCGTTAACAATAACCTCTGGATATAAAAGCTCCATTATCTTGGATTCTCCATTATCTCTCCGTTATCCAAGTAAACAGTTGATGGTTTTATTTGATTCAGAAATGTCTTTCTTTATTTCTTGCTCTTTTGAAATGTCACAATGTGCTGCAGACGGTGAATTACACTTCCTTAAATGCTTAAAGATGCATGTAATCACTTGGCTGCTAAAGTGAAATGTACAATTTGGGTCAGCGTGGTCTCTGAGTGGGGGAGACTGTCACTTTACTCACACCAGTAGCTCTGCCTCTTGTGGCAGATCTCCCCGACTATAGAGGTGAGCAGTTGTTGCTAGTTCACTCCAGCTGTTTGACTAAATGAAATAAATGTTGCTTGTCGTTAAGCTTCTGTTGAATAAAGTGCTGCACGGTGTTGTTAAGCTCACTGGTGCTGGTTTGTTTTATGTCAACAGGTGGAGAAGCTATAAGTTGTAAAGGGAGAAGACAAGGCTATGAAGAAGCTTTCTTTTTTAAAACAGGAAATGGACTAAAAAAAAGTGTCCAAAAGAAACGGAGTTGGTGAAATTGCAAAAGTCTAATGCATTTTGCTTGCGTCAACTGAAAATGTGTATTTTACAGTCATTGTAAATCATGCTTGCATCTGTTGTTTGGATAAACATTAGTCATTACTTTGAGTTATGTTTTCTTGAGGTTAAAGTCACCTTTAGTCGAAGCTCTTGCTCATTTCTGTGTTTACAAATTTGGGATTTCTGTTGCTCTTCTCAAGCCATTATGTTTGCAATTCCCCGTATAATGGCAGAATAGCTGTGGGCAGTGAGTGGTGGGTTTTTTTTTTTTGTATTAAGGAAGCCATCGTGCTTTAAATAGGGCTCCAGCAGCAGGACTCTTTCCACATTAAGTGACCTCATCCCTCCGGCCCTGCGGTGGTACTTGAAGTCAACACAGAGCAGGGTGTGTCCCAGACACCGTCCACCACAGCCTGGGTTTGTTGGGTCCCCTCAGCCTGAAGAGAGCACCTGGTTTCCTGGCTCACAGGGTCCAGAGTTTACATCCAGCGTCATGCTGCCTATAGGAGGATAGAGGAAGATGTGCAGTATAACTGAGGGTTGTCACATATTTAACATATATAACATTAAGCTGTCTGTGGCTCTTTTTCCTGCTGTAACTACGCAAATGTCCCCTCCGTGGGACTAATAAAGGTATTCTGTTTGTGTGCATCAGAAATGCATTCGTAGCCTGTCCAGTCCATTAGTTATATAAGCAGGTTATGTAAAGGGACAGTTTAGAGTTAGATACAGCGTTACCATTTTAAAGCCATGCTGTGAAAAACTAAGCATCTGTTGGCATGTGTCTACTGTATAATGACGTCACCAGTAATACCTTTTCTTAATTACTATGCGTGGGCTACATCTAATCTCGGTTTGCTTCTACCCCGATAAAACCCTAGCTTCTCTTTTGCTGAGCGATGAATTGCTGGTTTTAGGCAGTTTGTTTTGCCGTGTTGGAAAGACTAAAAATGTAAATCTGAAATCTTGGACGTAGTTTTTGTGGGACTGGGGTTCCCCCTCACATCTGATTATCTTTCTGAAGCCACTTCTAAAGTGGGGGGAAATGTTGGAACAAATGTATGATGTCACGTTGTCGTGTAATCCAAAACTCGTTTCCAATATACTTTTGTTCTGCCTTCAAATATTTCAATGTAAATGCTGTGAAGTCTGCAATTTTGTAAATTCTTATTCTCTGTGAAGGCTGCTCATGACAATTGGATCAGTTTCATTCAACCTTTTTTTGCTATAGCCTGTTTGAGCTTATTTATGTTGCTAAGATTAGCAATACTGTTATTGACCTGTTTCAAAACATGCTCACTCCTTCAACATAGACGATGTTCTTTGTGCAACAGCACACTAAGACTAATCTCATTAACTTCTGTTGTTTATCTTTGTCTCTACAGACAGGACGCATTGACAAATCCTACCCCACAGTGTGTGGACACACAGGCCCGGTGTTAGACATCGACTGGTGCCCCCACAATGATCAGGTCATCGCCAGCGGCTCGGAGGACTGCACAGTGATGGTGAGGTTTGCCGCACCTGAACTCAGACCTCTTAATTGTGAAAAAAATGCAACGCACATTCTTGAGGTGATAAGTGACAAGAGAATACATGCTTTTATTGCAAAAGGCATGTGGTAACTACGAGATGGGTTCAGACCTCACCCTCTGGATTAGATTAGACTCAAATATGTGTTGTAGGAATCAGAGCTGGGGAATGATTTAGCTGTTTATTGAGCTGAGGTCACCGACTTTTTTGAGACTGTAGTTATACGTTCCTCCATATGTCCTTATTTGGACCTTGAAGGGGCCGAGATAAGTGTGCTGCCTGTTTGTGTTTGCTGCTACCACTTCCTCACCTGAAAGCCCTGACTTCCTGTTAAACCCACTCTGAATCAATGCCATATTTAGTTCACGTGTGCAGAAGTAATGGACCATCAATGGTTCCTCTCTTCATAGTATTTGATATTTAAAGGGGACATTCACAGCCTAAACGGGCTCTTGGTGATGTTTAGTTTAGATTAGTGCCAGTGGGCAGTATATTTGTCGACTGGTAGAGATCACATTTAGACGTGGCTTCACTCTTTTTATTTTTTAAATTTGGAATGGGCTTAAACTGTCAGAAGTTCAAATAAAGTTGAATGTAAATCAAAATGCAGATCAGCACAACTCACTGCATTTAAAACGGCGCATATATGTTGGACATGGTTTGGTTGGAAACTAAAGTGTTGCCAGAGACGGTAATGCAGGCATCCTTTTAAACGCCTCGGAAAACCAAATAAAAGGTTTTTCTTTGAAGGCCAGTCGACACAATCAACGTCAGTGTTGAACAAAAACACACATAATGCCGATAACAACTGAGATGACGTTAACTACACAATATCTTCATCTTCGTTTATCTTGTTTTTTAGGGCTAACATTGTACTATTTTTAGTGATAATATTAAACCTTAACTCTGTATCCCATCTGTCACTAACTCAGACTGAACTCTTAGCCGCTGCTGCCCCCTTCTGTTCCTTTTGATAACTACCATTCACTGATGTCTTCCGCAGTAACATTGGGTGGGGTTGATGGGTTCATAATGAAATGTTTTAGAATGTATGCTGTTGTCAGATTTAGGGCTAACAATGAGTGTCTCTCCAGCAGGCTTACATGTATTTGTTGTGGCTGACCTCTTATGTAAAATAATAAAAAACATAATGTAAAAAAACCAACACCAAGATTGCGACACCACTCCTGAGCATTAACACTTGTGTGCAATATTTACCTAGTTGAAATTATTATTATTATTACTGGCTGGTAACAAGAATCTGTAGGTAAATCTGTGAAATATATCATTTCACTTCTATGTCTACCACACTGCATTCTACATGCTTTACTTTAGCTGTAACCAAAAATCGTTTTTAAATGTGCTTTATAAATAAAACATGATTTGAGTGTTAATTTCCTCCCCTGTGGTACGAATAAAGGGATTCTGATTGGTTCCTCTTCATGTCCCCCCCCCAGGTGTGGCAGATTCCTGAGAATGGCCTCGTCACTTCCATGGCTGAACCAGTGGTGGTACTGGAGGGCCACTCCAAGCGTGTCGGTATCATCACATGGCACCCGACGGCGCGCAATGTCCTTCTTAGTGCCGGTAAAGTTCTCTCTTAAATGTATGAAATGCATTTGAACCAGAGGTGTAAGAAGTACTCGGATATTTTATGTAAGTAGAAGTACTATAGTGTAAAAATACTCTGTTACAAGTAAAAGTCTACTACTTCTATTTTATTGAACTTACTTGCACCTTTTTTATCTGTTATCTGTTTTATTGTGTTGCACTGTTGGAGGAGGCTGTGACCTAAGATTTTCATCAACTACACTGTAGCTATGTACGAATGACAATACAAGCCTTGAATCTTGAAGTCCTGCACACAAAATCTTACTTAACTAAAAGTGCAAAACTAATGGCATCAAAATATACTTAAATAACAAAAGTAATGGATTATTATAATAAACGCGCTGCTATCCTGTTCTCCTTTACTTCACTCTTCAGGCTGCGACAACCAGATCATCATCTGGAACGTGGGCACAGGAGAGGCGATGATCAACCTGGACGACATGCACCCGGATGTCATCTACAGCGCGACCTGGAACCGCAACGGGAGCCTGATCTGCACCTCCTGCAAGGACAAGGCCATCCGTGTCATCGATCCCCGCAAGGAGACGGTTATCGCCGTAAGAATCTTTCAGACATTTCTTTGTTGCTGTGACACATCTTCTTTTATATCATTGTATATGATGGTTAAATATTAACACTTGCAGTGAGAGGGTTAAAAATAGCAACAATTATTAAGCTAGATGGGCTGCCTTCAGCTAACTTATTTACTTAAACTTGTTCTTAAGTATGACACTGACACTGGATGACTGCTTATTGAGTGTGACCTTTAGGAGAGACCTCTGTAGATCGAGCCGAACAAAATGCGCTGTGCTTTGTGTAGTGTTGTGTTAAACAAAAGGAACTCAAGTTATAGTGGACATAACAACAAGCTGCTCAGGAAATAGTGACTTGAGCACAGAGCAAGTGTTGACCTGTAAACTTGTTTTCACAGGAGAAGGAGAAGGCCCATGATGGGGCTCGACCCATGAGGGCCATCTTCCTGGCTGATGGCAACATCCTCACCACAGGTTTCAGCCGAATGAGTGAGAGGCAGCTCTCCCTCTGGAACGCGGTAAGCTGCTATTCTACTACTACTGTTAAGGTTGTATAATTATATTATATAACCAATATACATATTTCTATAGGTCTTATAGTTGTCTCAAGAACTTGCAGTACTTGATTCCATCAGTCTTTCAAATAACCGTTTAAATGAAGTGGTAAACACAAGTGAAAAATAAACACAATATCCCCAACGTTATTACTTTGACAACTGCCACATTATACACAGATTTGAAAGGGCGACATGAATGCCTTCACCTCTTACTGTTTAAAATCAATTATTTTTCCTGACATTTCTGTTTCTCAGTCTCAACAGAACTCCTTTATCATTATTTATCATGCTTCTGTTTTCTCAGAATAACATGGAGGAGCCCATGACTGTTACTGAAATGGACACCAGCAACGGAGTGCTGCTGCCCTTCTACGACCCAGACACCGGTGTTGTTTACCTCTGTGGGAAGGTCAGCTCCTTCTTCAAGTTCTCAAAAGTCACATTTTCACTGTGCTAAATACATAAATAAAACACTTCTTTCATTCTTTGCAGGGTGACAGCAGCATCCGTTACTTTGAGATCACAGATCAGGCTCCGTACGTTCACTTCCTCAGCACCTTTACCACCAAGGAGCCCCAGAGAGGCATGGGCTACATGCCCAAGAGGGGCCTTGATGTCAATAAGTGCGAAATTGCGAGGTAAGCTAAGATGGATATTTAAACATAGGGGTATCGTTAAGGTTTTAACGGTACTACTATTTTATCGATACCGCTTATCGATCCGGTCTTTTAACGGTACTCTTATCGGTTCTTTTGGAGAAAAAAATAAGGTTAACTAAACAAATTGTGAACAAAACTAACATTGCTTTTTATTTAAATTAAATAAATAATATTTCACATCAAAAGAACCAACAATGTTTTAACATCGTATTAAATAATCTGATGACAGAACTGTAAACAGAATAGCTGAAACTTTAACAAAATAAATAACTCTGTTTCCTCTAATCATTAACCCGTGTTTGTATCATGTAGTTAACTCGGTGTGTTGCTGCCAGCATACATAACACCTGACGTGGAAACGTTACTCGTGGATGGGGCTACAGAGCTGCTAGAAAGACAGTCGAACCCGGTGCATTCCTCCGTCTGAATGTGGTGCACTTTTGATAAATGTTTAGACAAACTGCTCGTGTTACCGCCCTTACATGCTGAACTCTTATTGCACTTTTGGCAACGAGCATTGTCCACATCGAGACGAGTAAAGTGTAACCACACCTCGGAGCGCTTAGTTCTCCTCGCCATCTCCGCCGTGTGTGTTGCTGCATGTAGCAGCTGCGTGTGTAAACTGCCCCGCCCCCTCGCACACAGACGGGGGAGAGAGATCTCTCGTCTGGACTGGAAAGATCGAAAATACTAAAAATAATCATAGGCAAGTTTATTTATATAGGCAAGTTTATTTATATAGCACTTTTCAACACAAGGCTATTCAAAGTGCTTATCATAGACGCATTTTGCATTATTTTTGCGTATTAGTTGGCGACACTAAAACTGCGATATAATGTTTGTGTAGCATAATACATATGACATATATTTTAGATGTCTCCAGTACCGATAACGGAGCTTCACGGTACCACGGTCTTTAATAATTCAGCCCCGGGGCTCGGTACCCATCCCTATTTAAACATCATCTCGAACACAGGAATTTGTTCAGAGCCCCTAGATGCTCCACTAGGTGGCAGAATGTGATCATGACAAAATATTTAAACCCTCTCGGGAAGTTTCCAGTAATCTGTCCTAAAACACTGTTTGTTGTTGTTCAATAAATCATTGGATCGTGAGGTAATTCTTAAATGTGTTTGTTGGCAGGTTCTTCAAACTGCACGAGAGGAAGTGTGAGCCTATCGTGATGACTGTACCGAGAAAGGTGAGACCTCATCCTGAATGGCCACTTTGCAAACGTACAGACCTTTTATCTGCTGTTGAATCACTGGCGTGCGGGGGAGGCTTTCTCTTGAAATGTGTAGCTTTTCTCACAGCTTGTCACGTTATCTTTCTCTGTCAGTCGGACCTGTTCCAGGACGACTTGTACCCAGACACATCTGGCCCTGATCCTGCCCTGGAGGCCGAGGATTGGTTTGATGGCAAGAATGGAGACCCCATCCTCATCTCCCTCAAGAACGGCTACGTCCAGGGCAAGAATCGCGAATTCAAGGTGGTCAAAAAGAACATTTTGGATGGCAAGGCGACCAAGAACACAGAGAACTCGAGCCCTGCCAACAAGTCTGCCTCCCCAACTCCATCGATTGTGAGTCTTTGCATTTGATAACATCTGGTTGATGAATGTATCTCAGGGTTACATGGTTGCTTGGATGTAAAGATACCACTGTGACAACATATGTACACAGATAGACATATACACATGCAATGATGACACACAACGTGAAAGCGATGCCAATCAAATGCCTGGTAATAATCATAATAATCTTTAAGAGTTTTCTTTAAATTATAATTGATCTCTTTACCTCTCTGGGCGCACAGTGGTAAGAAGACAAGTTTGTAAATATGAAAATAATGAGAACTATTACAATTTCTCCAAAGCTCAAGGTGACGTTTTAATACGGTGTCTTTTGACGTACAAACAGTCCAAAGATGTTCAGTTTACTCTCCCATAAGACACAGAAAAGCAGTAAATCCCTTTTTATAAACTTTAATAATAATTCAGATGAGTTATCAACTAATCACGAACTGTGATTTCAGCTGTTTATCAAAAGTCTATCAGGGTGATAGACCATGAACAGTTACAGTGATACTCATATAGTCCCCACCCTTATCACTCGCGTATGAATGCCCTTCCCTCTGGCCTCCTCTCTGTAGTAGCCTCTCTGTAGTAGCCTCTCTGTAGTAGCCTCTCTGTAGTAGCCTCTCTGTAGTAGCCTCTCTGGGGCGCTCAGTGTTAAGAAGACGGTGTGTGCGTCGGCAGAGGGCAGATTGCTGGCTGTCCTCAGGAGGTGGTTTGTAGATGTTGTTCAGCCCACTCTCTGACCCACAAACTGAGGGGTATGGCTCTGCTCTGGGCGCCTGTTGCTGGGCGTCCTGCCGCACCTCACCCACAACACAGCCGCCCGCCTGGGACCCAGCCCAGGAGTCTGTAGGCAGGCCTGCTCTGTAATCACAGCCCACTGAGCTCCAGCAAACATGTTAACCCTCAGAGGGCCAGACCCTGCCAGAGGTCTGAACCTCCGACACTCTGAGACTGGGAAGGCTCTCCTGCACTATTGTGACATTGGTTCAATACTATTATTATTATTATAGTTGTATTCCACTCATGGCAATTACTATAAAACAAGACATGTACACTGGAAGCAGTTTTTTTTGTAGCCCATGATGGAAAGGAGCAGGGAGAAGAAAGTCTTTTTTGACCTGGCCCTTATTCAAAAATAGATGGCCTGTCAATCCAAGCTGCTTACAACCAATACTTACAGTAACAAGAAATCAAAATCAATCTACCATCAGCAAAACATGTTACCCGACATCTTCATACTGTCTAATTATTCTTACTGTATACATGTTCGTAAACCTAAAGATGTTCATACAGCCCTTTAAATCATTTGGTAAAGAATTCCTCAGTTTAACGCCAGCTACAGAAATACTGCTTTAAAGTAGTCCGTGCAAACTGTAGATTTAAAACGTAGAATTTGTTTATGTTTTCTGGAAGTATTTGGTTGTTTGCTTTATGCATAACTAATGAAGTCTGTAATTAAATTAAATCTTTAAGTTTTAACAGTCTTGACTAAACGAACAGCGTATTTGTGTGTTGTCGGGGATGTGCATTATGCAACATTCTCACTGCTTTTTGTGTGTGTATATATAAAGACTTGTGTACAAACTTCTCGTCTCTTGTGTCTCCCACAGAAGTCTGAAGCCAAGCTGGAGGAGATCTTGAAAGAAATCAAATCCCTCAAGGACCTGGTCTGCAGTCAGGAGAAGAGAATCATCAAACTTGAAGATCAAATGTCCAAAATTGCCATTTAGGGACCCTTTACCCGACCCGCTACAATTCAGGACGTTCCATTGGCAGGGGGACCGTGTTTCGTTGGAGGCCTGCCTAGCAACGATCCCTAGCAACATTCCAGATGAACTTTTTCTTAGCCAGCCCCCGACCCTCAGTTTAACACAGATGGAATAAGGACGTGTCACATGACCCTTTTCCTTTAATCATGTGGCAGTTGTTTTTTTATTTTGTCAAAAAAAGGTCTAACATAGAACTTTGCTTTTTAGAAATATGACCAAGGAAATAGTCCCCATTTGCCAAAATGCATACCCAGATATTTTTAAAGTATCAGTATATATATCACCATAGCCCAAAATTATAATGTTGCCAAATTTGACATTTTGTTTACACCCCCAAAAGTATTTATTTCTCTCTGTGGGAGGAGTCAAAATGCAAACGGCGCAGAAGACCAGGTTATGTAATAAAAATAATTTGAATAATTTGGTTATGCTAGGAAAATCTCAAACTGTAATTAGGGGGAAATAAATTCAGGTTGAAGAATGCCACAGTCTTCACCAAGCACCCAGACATTACATATGATTCCCGCTGTCTGTTGAATCTGCACAAAGTGACTCCTGCTTTTTGCCATTTCTCCTCATTCCTGTCGCTTCAGGCTGTGACAATAGTCCACGACGTAAACATGCATTCCTCTCTGTTTAGCTTCATTAACATGCACCGTGTGCTTATTGAAAAAAAAAAAAAATGACAAACACATTCCACAAATCTTATTGGCAGTTTTTGTTGTGTCGGGAAAAATACTTCTGCAACGTTCCTCCTCCTGTGAACACTGTACTGTCGTGACTCAGTTGCACTGGTTGGTTGTTATTGTGACATCGATGTGCTGCCACTGAAAATACCAACTTTGTGGATTTTCAACCTCAGCGCTGCTTTGTTTCTGTGACCGGTACAGACATCGACCTCAGTGTTTAGAAGCTGCAGTCAAGTGTAGTGGGATTATTTGTTGTCTCTGTTCATTTGCTTTAATTGCCATCTCAGATCTGTACATTCTGAACAAACAAAACAGGAATTGACATGACGACAAGTAATCACACTTTGACTATTTCAAACCTTCTGGTGGTAAAACTGGAGATTGCTACAGAAACTGTTCATGATGGACCTTAAAGGCCTAGATTGTGTGAGTATGTGCCTCATGTCTTTGGTCTTTTGGGTACCTGTCACTTAGGATGTTCCTGCTTTGTTTCTTATTTGGGGGAGGGTTATGAAAAGGACTCCAAGACTAGCCTCCATCTTGGATGAATTGAATCGTTGGGATATTGCTTCACTGTTAATTTTAGCCTGTTTCTTGTTCCAGCTGTGCTAATATCCCTCTTAGTACTTCCACTTTTTTTAATGGTTTATTTCTCAGATGCCCCTGTTCAGTATAGTTATCAGAATATCTAAGAACCATTGTATTGTCCAGTCTGAGCTGGTTTGATCAGACGGCTACGATAAAGCTCCTCTCGATGTTTTAGTTTAGTTTCCCAGTGGGAAGCTGAGACGGGTAATGGTTCAGTCTGTTGTTTGCCTTCAATATTTGTTACCACTGTAAAGACCTGAAAGTGCCATAGAGGTAACCATGGAAGTGTTTGTAGGGGACTGTTGTGAGAGTAGATATGTGTAGTAAATGGAAGAGTTGATAGGTGGCCGGCTTTAAAACCACTTCGAGGTGCTATACCTATGTTCAGAGGACCCTGCTCCTAAAGTACTGTCATGAACTCTTGCCAATCCATCCCACAATACACCAGGCTTGGGGTTTGGCAGAAGGCACGGTGACATTTTGACACTTTCCATCTGGATACAGGTATTCAAAACACCTTAGTAATGTCAAACCGAGATGCTTTTTGAGTCATCGTGGCTTCTAGGAGCAGCGTGGCGTAGAATATAAGGACATCTGAGAGTGCTAACTGTTATACTGCCATATCTTGTATATCAGAGCGTCACTCTTTATAGCACTGTCGGCACAGAGAGGAGATGAGAAGTAGTAGTGAATAGCGATCCAAAGGGACTCTGTAGGTTGGAGAAGTGTGCAGTTGAAAGATAGATGTATGTTTGTAATTTAGGTCTAGAAAAACTGAGTGAAAGCTTTGTAAATAACATGACCATATTTTCTGTATTTTTTTATTTCTTTTGTGGTTGTGCTGAAGAGGGTATTTGTGTGGGAGGTGGGTTTTAAATGTTTCCCCTTTGTCTGTGTTCCCTGCACCTTGCCATAATGCACCATGAGAAAAGCAGAGCCTCCGTTGATTATAAGAAAAATTAATAAAGAATTTTTAAAATGGCCTGATCTTTTGCATTCAATCATTACTGTTTCTTGTCAGTTATAAGTCCACAGTTTTAGTACAACAAATCTGAAACCAACAGGAAGACTCTTAAGAGAAATAAAACCTCAAACTTCCAATTTATCCTACATTTGTTTCAACAAACCTCATGAAGGGCGGTGGTGGCGAAGTCCATAGGGACTTGGCTTGGCAACTGGAAGGTCACCAGTTCATGTCCCGGAAAGACCAAGTGCTACCGAGGTGTCCCTGAGCAAGGCACTGTTCCCTGCACTGCTCCCTGGCTGCCGTCCATAATGGCAGCCCACTGCTCCTAACACTAGGATGGGTCAAATGCAGAGAAACCGTTTTGTTACATAGTACCTGTACTACGTAATGACAATAAGTTGAATCTTCAATGAAAGACCAACAATGTGTGTTCCTCAGCCTGTCCAATAGGTATACCTGATTCTTAAAAAAAATGGTATGGCTTGTTTAATGTCGTTTTTGTTCTCGTAAACTGCTGTGCACTGTCGTTTTTAGAAACTTGCAAACCGACAAGATACTGCATTTATTGGGAACCTTTTTTTGCTCCAGATTTATACATATTTATTTAGTGCTCTGTTGAGTGTGTCACACATTGAGTGTTTACTGCAGGATAGTATACTGTATGTGCGACGGACGAAATAAAATAAAAGTGCTAATTGCAACACAGGAACATGTCAGCTAGTGCAACATTTAGTATCTTAATATTTGTTTTTTTAGACTGTTATATCAGCTGTATCATGGGATCAATTATTATTTGGTTCAGGTGTTTTAATATGCCTTTGTTTTCAATCGTATTCTCTTGTACTGACTGGGGCACAAACTATAAAGTAGATGGCCCTAAATGGATAGTGAACTGAAAGTGCAGTATAGCTTGAAATAAAGACAGTTAGTGATGGAACAGCTCTTGTGTTTAAGCCACTAATAATATCTTATCACACTAATGCGGTCTCTGTTACATCATGCATTACAAACTCAAAACTACAACATTGTGTGACGCAGTAATAGTATAAAAGATGATTTCACTCTGAACCTGCACAATTGCTACCTTCTCAACGAAAGCCCACTCTGACCAGCTATAACATCAACATCTCACACCATCTGTCAAAATAACCTGAATGAAATAAGAAAGAACGCATCGGCAGCTTTAAATAGTCGACCTGCATATTTAGGGATGTATCCAGAGATAAGTGCTGCTAAAAGACTGCCGTTTATATGTTCGCCCTGTACATGTGTTTGGGGATGAAAGGGGTTGCTTTCTCTCTGCGCTGCTCTTGTACACAGGCTGTAATCTACGGGCACTTAATTAGAGAGGACTCAGTGGGAGGCAGAGGAGTTTTGGGACTCGCCCCGCCAAGGACAGAAATACACATTTCCTTAAAACATGGGACTCGTGTTCTCTCTGCAACATCTCTGCAGGGAGAGTCAAGCACAAAACTCAGGCTGAAGTTAAATTAACTTAAGTCAGCACACATTGAGGTAAAATACACTTTAATACAAAATGAATTCCCTTCTTAAAACAGTTCAGCATTTCTTTTGAATAATGGTGTAAAAGTATGTACAGAATCACTCTGCATGGCATGTCATAATTCATAATGTACAGTAAAAAGGTTGAATCCCAAATGGACGCCCCATGAGTGCAGAATGATGAAGAGTGCTTGTGGGAGGTCGGAGAAAAAGAGGGATGGACATCATTTCGCAGTGAGCAGACTTTTCAGGGCTGAGTAAAAAAACGGTCAGTATTACTGAGCAGGGAGGGCGGATGCTCGGAAACTCTTCACTCTTACTTTCCTCTCCGGACTTTGTCTCCCCTTTTCTTCCTCTCTGTATTCCTAACACAAGATAAACTCGGGATTACACATTCTGTAAGTATATGTTTATATTTGCAATTTAAAGTCGATGTTATAAAGAGTATCATTTACATCAGAGATCAATATGATGAGTAATATTTTATGTTTCAAATTCATTAATACAACATGTATTGGAGATAAATGTATTACAATGTTAGTATGCTTTTGTATGCTATTTTATACTTCATTATGTTAAACAGAAGCACATTTGCTTATTAGCTATGGTAACAAGACAGATTTTCAGTTTATAAAATATTGTGCATTTGTACAGAATAAACTAACTTACACTATAAAGAAGTCTAATTATCTTTAACTCTATTGTTATATTAATACAATTATACAGCAATCTTTTGTCATGCATAACTGTGCTTTTGACACAAAAAGTATGCATTTCTAAAAATACTTTTGTCGTATTCCTTCATTACATTTTCATAAAGCAGAGCTTTTACTTGTAATAATATGTTTTCCTCGTTGTATTGGCAGTTTCCTCTTATAAAATTGACTTATTCTGACGCTGCTAACATCTAAAAACAATATTAAATTATCAGAAATGTAATTAATGTTTATACAGAGGGACTAATTTGCAATCTGTATTTCTTTACACTTAATGCTTACACCTTGAGATAAACAAATATGTAAGAAAATGCTTTGAGATTATTTAAAACTATTCCAGAGGCTCTATCTTTGCAAATGTGTATTTCCTGGGCACGCTTCACTTTATTTTATTTTGGTCTAAACTGCATTTTTCCTAAACGTCCACGTATGCCAGACTGTATTTTGTGTAAATGTGTCCAAAATAAGACATAGAGCTCATTCCTTTTAGATGTAGCCCTTAAGATGTCATCGTTCACATATGGACACATAAGGTTTGAAATGCTTTCTGTAAATTAAAAGAAAATTAAGAGTTGGAGAGATTAAGCACTCAAATGTCATGAAAGGGATGAATCGCCACAGTGATGTCTGAAGGTATTTAGTTGAAGGTAATATAGCCCCTCCAGAAAAATACAGGGAATGTAATTATGTCTGTAATTATAAGATTCAGAGGGCAGTGCTGTACTATAGCTGTACATCCAAGGATGAAGACCCAGCCCTCTGTGGTCCAGCAGAGCGGAGACTGTATGAGCGACCACACAGGGAGGGGGATCTCACTGTGGTGTAAATCAGGTTTCTATAGCATGATGCTGATTAGAAGCTTGTCTTTACATCCTAGCACCGTGTAATTAAATACTGTAAATAGTGACAGACTGAGCCCTGCAACACCAGAGGTGGGAAGTAGTGGAGTACAAATACTTTGTTACTGTACTCCACAACGACTTTTTACTTTTACTTCTTACATTTTGAACACAAATACCTGTACTTTCTACTTCTTACAAAACAGGTTTGTTACTTTAGTTTGAATCTGCGTTTGGTGGCATGATCATTATTATTTAGAGTCATTGCGTGCCTATTGATTTGAACACAATCCGTGTATCCATCATTTCCTGGTCTTCTCTAAAGAAGAGGGACCAATGAAAACGTTGTCATTTTGCCGTTGTTCAGCATGGAAACATTCATTAGCTAACAATGACATTATTGTTCTATTAATATAAAGGGAGGTCAGGTACTCTTTAAAACAGCTGCTAGTTATGGGTACTTTTTACTTAAGTACATTTCAAAGCCCATACTTCTTTACTTTTATTTGAGTAAAGAAGTTTAGTCAGTACTTCTACTTTTACCAGAGTATTTTTAAACACGAGTATCTGTACTTCTACTTGATTAAGGGTGTGTGTACTTTTGCCGTCTCTGTGCAACACTAGCTACCTTATGTTAGAGTTCAACATGACATTGAGATGGAAATGGAAGAAAGGTAATATTGGGTTAGTAGTACGTGTATACAGTCAGTACATTTTCCTGGAAGCAGGAATCTCCCCTGTGCTGTGCTGCTGCGGCTCGGCTGGTGCTCAGCAGCTGCTGCCCGGTGTAAATATAGAGGCCGCAGCCGCAGGTCTCCCACGCCTCTGTGCTCCCCTGGAATATAGCTTCCTCTTGGCTTTGGTGTGGTGGATGGGCCTCCCTCTACTTTACAAATTATAAGGCCTTCAGCACCAAAACTCACTGTCTCCACCCCAAATAAGTAATGGCTACTAAAATAGGTCTTGTGAAAGATGGGAAGTCAAAGATTACTGGAGTTACATTTCAGATGGAAAAAGCTCTTAAAACAATATTATTATTCTCTCATTAGCATATTTTGCATTAAAGATAGCTTGACACTGGTGAGTTTAGTTTCTAAACGGGTCCCAAGACAAACCATAGGCATCACAAGATTACAACTTCATATTTTACATTATATTTTCTGTCTTCTTAGTCTGTTATCTTGGTCGGTTTCTTTAAAGAAATTGTTTCACGTTTATTGCCAAGAGTTAGATTAAGATGATTGACACTCTCATGTTTACAATAAATATTTAGCTAAGGCAGGAGGCTTAGCTTTGCATAAAGACAAATCACAGGGAGCGTGGTTAACCAAAGTTCAAATAAACACCAACCGGCGGACTCCAGGAAGTCACTGCACCAGGCGTTTGCTCGCCAAGAAAAAGTTATTGTACCTTTTATAACTCCCTTAAAAATAACATTGTGTTTGGATTAAAGAAAGTGGATGCAATGTTTATCCCTGAGCTGTACAATGCTGCTAGAGGACTTCTGTAACCTCAAGACAGAGCCAGGCTAGATTTGTCCGTCTTTTGCAAAGCTCACCAACCTCCAAGGGGTCACAAGTCACTAAGTCAGTGGATCTCCTCAAGATAAGAATTACAAATACATCTATTTTATGCTAAATTCATAATGTTGGTGTTGTTGCAGGACGCTGAGGAGAAGATGAAGTCCCACACGTTTTTCCTTGCCACCTGTGTGACCCTGCTCTCGCTGTGTCATGCTACTCCGCTGTTCTACAACATCTCCATGGACGGCAGTGGGGATGAAGCCGAGCTGGAGCTCCTTCCTATCTCCTTCACCACTCGAGCCCCCGTTCTCATCTCTGCTGCTACTGGACCCCCCAGCCTCACCGCCACCATCACCAACACCATCACCACCACCATGATCCGCCTGAAGGACTTTGTCTTCACCCGAGTGGTGGACTTCCTGCAGGAGCATCTGCTCATCATCATCGTTGTGACCTCTCTACTCATCGTCATGGTCTTCATCATCTGCTGTGCCTCTGCCATGAGTCAGAAGCGTAAGCTGGAAGCCTACAAACCCCTCCCTAACTCAAACAAGAAGCTTGCGGCAAGCAAAACAAACGCACCCAAGAACTCCAGTGAGCCCGTGGAGAGGCCCTACGCTGTGGACCACGTCAAGAGGGTCCAGACTCAGAGCATGGCCTCCCCCAAGACCCTGCGCCAGCCCTCCAAGGCTCTGGTGGGAGAGAGGGGGCGGGACGTCCGGTCGTCGCCTCGCCAGGAGGTGAGGAAGGTCCGGGAGGTCGAGGAGGTGGAAAAGAGCCAAGAGGAGCCCAAGCAGAAAGAGCAGCCGAGGCCCAGGGAGGAGGTGCAGCAGAGCCCCAGCACCAGCGCCGCCTGCACCGCCTGCACCTGCCACCTGAAGAAGGGTCACCACTAGGGGTCAGGGCTGATGGTGGCAACCATGACAGAACAACAAGATCTGACAGGTTATACTGTACACATTTGGAAATAAATCATTGGGATTGAAATCTGAAATACCTTTGGATAACAACAGCCAGCAGGAAATGTATTTGTAAAGCTCATGCCCAAAATATAATTCATCTGATGTAAAAATGAAATTAAAAGTTAAACTATTGAATTTAGCTGCATACATCCTGTCTACAAAAGTTGCATCTCAAAGTTTTTGATTTATATAAAGGGTTAAAAAGCCAACAATTGATAATGGCTTTTTCTTTTTACCTGCTGACAACCTTTCAGTTTAAAGAGGCTCAGTGGTCCTTAGTCTTGCAGTGGTTGGCCAGTAGGTTTTTTAAAAATTATTATAAGATAAGTACGTCATTGTGTTCAGAAAGATTATCATTATTGCAATACTAAGTCAATATTTTGAGACAGATATAATGCATGGATCTTTTATCCATCACAAGGCATATTTGTGTCTTATCTTTTGTATTTAAGTGACTAATATAATGTTACTGTGCCATTAAGGTAGCATCACTTGAAACCGTGAAATACCATTTTCTTTATGGATACAATCGTTTTTTAAAGAGAAAAATAAAAATGATGATAAATGGGCAGCCATTGGTTTTCCATGGCTCCCTAAAAGCAATGACAGATCAGTATCCGGGTGTTGTTGACACAGAGATGTGTGACTCATGCCTGCCTTGACGAGGGATCTCCTCGTACGTCCTGCTGTTCGCCTCGGCGTCTCTCTTGCGGCTCAGAGCTCTGACCTCTTTAGAGCTCACCTCTGCTGCTGTAAATAAAGCAAAGTGAGAAGCCAGAAGCCGGATTGTTCTAACAAAACAATATCTTTTTATTTACCTTCATATTTACTTATCTTCGTTTGTTATTTCATTTTTTACGTCATATCCTATTGCTTTTTACTTCACAAACCTAATTCACAAAGCTTTACACCAAAAGCACAATTTTCAACTGTGTTACCGGCAGTGTTGGGACTAACGCGTTACAAAGTAACGCGCTACTGTACCGCCGTTATTTTTAGCAGTAACTAGTACTCTACCGCATTACTTTGTTACTTCAGTAACTCTGTTACCGTTACTACATGGTGCGTTACTCCGTTAGTTTTTTTATATAGTCAACAGCCAGGCGAACAGAGATGAGAACTGTACTTAAGTACTTGAGTAAATGTACTTAGATACTTCCTGTGTCACATGCGGAGACTCGCTGTGGGCGTGTTTGTGTTGTTTACTAACAAGACTATCATGGCGGCGGCGGAGCTCAAGTCTAGTTTCTCCACCTGGAGATATTCTCACTATTTCACTTTTGTCGAGCACAAAGAAAAGAACGTTTTAGTTAAATGTAAGTTGTGTCTTGGCGGGTCAAATATCCTATCTACTACCCAAACCAGTCATTCAAATCTCTTAAAAACATCTGCAAAAACAACATGCTGGCCTGGGACGAAGCTAGTAGCTAAGACCACAGAGACTCAGCCGACGCCACTCCACCTCCACCTAAGCAACAGCGGCTGGATTTTAACCAAGGGACTGCTAGCCAGGGAAAAGTCGATACAGCCATTGCACGGTATGTTGTAGAACACATGCAGGCTATTGCTACAGTGGAGTCACCCGCTTTCAGGGAGCTAGTTAGCATGATACCATGTCCGGGCGGCACACGGCATATGGGACGGAAAACTTTTTCCAACTACCTGGAGAAAGAATATACAAAAATGGAAAGCCAGCTAATATCGATGCAATCCAGATTGCATATAATGCATGTCAAGTTGATCAACAGATTGTATTATTCTCCAATGCAATAACAGTACTGAAATGAAGGCTATAAGGGCATTAATGGGAGCCATTTTTCTAAGTAACGAAAACGTTACTTTTGAAATGAAGTAACTAGTAATGGTAACTAGTTACTGGTTTTCAGTAACTAGCACAACACTGGTTACTGGTTACATTAAGTACATACATATATATATATATTATCTATCTGTATACATATTTATTTTGGTTGATAATTCTGATCTGCCTTAAAAAAAAGAAGCAGCTTTTTGGGGGGGTACAAAAACTTTGTGAATCAGGTTTTTATTTTATTTTAATAAGCAATACTTATGTTTAATTTAAATAATGGGTTTTATCTTTAATGTAATAATTAGTAATGGGTCAAAAGCTTGAGTACAGGGATAGATAGTTGGCCTGTTTTGCTGTTATATTTAGCTGTATTTGTTTTGATATTCCTATGGTTTTGTTTGACTAAAATGTAAGATTTTTGGAAACTCTCCATCTTACTGTCCCTTTACTGAAGTCAACGACTCTAAATGTGTGAGTTTTTATGCCTTATGGGCCAGACTTTTCTCTTTAAATACTTTTTAACCTCAGATTGTTTTCCTCAGATGTTTCCAAACAGATGCTTCCTTTGTAAGTGACAGTTTTGTTTTGCTTGTGTTGAATAAAATTGTCGTTAACAACGTTTCTGTCATTATTGAAAATGGTGGAAAGGGTTTCAGGATGAAAGACATGCAGCTCCGTAGAAACCTAAGATTAGAAAAGGCGCGGCAGGGAAAAAAAAAAAAGGGATGACTACTTGAACATTATGTTCCACTCGGGACTGTAATTCAGAGCTGCATACACTGAAGAATCATGGGTAACTATTTTTAAGGTAATTGCCCAAATGTCAGATTTGTATATGTGCTCTCTGGTGGGAGGAGCTGTCTTCCAATTTAACAAGGCCAAGCTGTGCACACACATAGACAATCTCTCTCTCTCACACTCACACACATTTTTATGGTTGGCCGTGGCGAGGCACCATCACACCCGGACCCCGGCCTGCAGAAGGTCTGGAGCCTGGAGATGACGAGGGCCTCGTTGTCCTTCACTGGCAACTCTACAAGATTGTTTAAATATTTCAGCAGCAGTGAACCAGATCCATACAGAGCCCTTTGATCCTAAACAAGCCCTCACGTATTGTCTCTATGAATCTTAAGACTCTGATTTCTTTCAGTATTCAAAGACAATACTTTTGGGTTTCTTACTTTTAAAGGGCAAAGAAAAAGTACCCTTGTGTGAAGAGTACAAGTATTGATATCAGGTATGTGTGTGAATGCCCTTCTTTCTACACCATCTGCCACTTTTACATTGATACAGGTTCACACATATGCAAATATATTGTTAAAATGTATCACGACATTATTAAAGTGTGATTGCTAATATTCCTAAAGCACAATCCATTAATAAAAAAAGTTTGCTCTGGATCAAAAGTGTGTCCTCTCTTCACAGATCAAACATCCAACATGACGACAGCAGCTCTAAGGCTAACGTAATTCTGTGGGCTGAAACGTGAGCCCTGACAGAGCCTCGCACCGGGGTCAGATTCCCCGCTCTTTTGTCAACGAGGTGCTAAATAATTAGAGAAAGTACAACCCCTTCACTTTCACTCTTCCCACCTGGTGACGGGAAGACACACAGCTGCAGGGCCACCCAGCAACCCTGTCTGTTCGAGGTCTACATTGACTGTTTACAGGAAGCTTGGTAACGTCAGATCAGGATATATCTGGGATACCCGTGAACTCTTTAACAGGACATCTCTAGCTGAAGTTCTTGCTCTGTGTAGTTAGACCTCTTTCACAGACCTGTCAATCACTCTGAGAGGTGAAGAGGATCCAGAATAGGTAACACAGCACCTTGAGGCTGACGTTAAACTTTGATGAGCATCTGCCAGGAATTCTCATCGGTGGTTAGATCTGAAGAGAGACAGGGGGCCACGTGCGGACAATCCTGCTCATCTCCGCTGAGGAGCACATAAAACAGGAAGAGGAAATGGTAAGTGTGTGTGGGCCTTTCATAATTAATTGTTGGGAATTTTCAGTCTTATAAGTCATCGTTTATGAGTTTAAATGATTATATGTTGCTAATAATGGCTTTATAAGAGGTTTTCAGTTGTTTATAAATACATGGATGTTGTTTCACATCTCATGTAGTTCCTGTTTAGAGGGTCAAAGGTCAGGGATAAGAGGTTTAAGGGGTGAAAAAATAAAACAAGTGATATCTGGGATATTTATGAGGCCTTCAGTAATGTCTGATGCTTAAAGCATTGTTAACATATCTAATTATCATTAATAAAACCATTATTAGCAATTTGAAATACCCGTTTTTAAGTTGTAGCAAGTAAGAAATGTGTTTAATGCAGTCGTTTTCATTATTCCTGGCAGTGAGTCATGCTTGGCTTCAGATGTGGTGGAAAGGTTTATGTCCTCCTGGTTCTCTGCATCGGTCCCCTGGCCTGCCTCCTCCCCTCCCCCTGTCCCCCCGGCTGCTGCTGCCCAGGGTTCCTGGTCCTGTGCGAGTCTCTGGGCCTCAGGTCGTTGCCTCGCTCTGTGCCTCTCAGCACCGCGGCTCTCTCTGTGGCCAGGAACCAGCTGTGTAACGTGGACCACCTGCTGCGGCCCTTCTCCGGCCTGCAGGAGCTGAGCCTCAGTCACAACCTGCTGCCCCGCTTCCCCCGCGGCCTCCCCCCCAGCTTGGAGTCCCTGCTGCTGCAAGAAAACCGCATCACGTTTATAACCTCAGGCGCCCTGCGACAACTGGGGAACCTCACTCGTTTGGATCTGGAGGACAACCGCATCAGTGCCATCCAACCGGGGGCCTTTCTGGGTCTCCCCAGGCTGCAGGTCCTGATTCTGAAGGGGAACAAGCTTACAAGCCTCCCTCTAAATCTCCCTCCATCACTGACACATTTGGACGTCTCAGCAAACTGCATCTCGGTCCTGGACCTGCCCTCTCTGTCTGCTCTGGTCAACCTGCAGGTCCTGAAGATCAACAGCAACTGCCTGCGCTCGGTCCCAGAGAGCGCGTTCGACGGGCTGCCGCGCCTCAGATCTGTGGACCTGACCAACAACCTCTGGGTGTGTGAGTGTGACATCTTGTATCTGTACCGCTGGCTTCTGAGAGGCAGGGTGAGGATGGCCACGGACCTGGTTTGCAGCGAGCCGGTCCATCTCGCTCACCGCCTGCTTCTGGATCTGTCCGTCATGGCCATCTGTCCTCGTGTCCTGAAGCCAAACGAGAGGACACCGCAACTGGACCTAAGTTCTGCCCTGGAGACAGTGAAGCCCAACGAGAGGACACAGCAACTGGACCTGAGTTCTGCCCTGGAGACAGTGAAGCCCAAAGAGAGAACACAGCAACTGGACCTGAGTTCTGCACTGGAGACAGTGAAGCCCAACGAGAGGACACAGCAACTGGACCTGAGTTCTGCACTGGAGACAGTGAAGCCCAACGAGAGGACACAGCAACTGGACCTGAGTTCTGCACTGGAGACAGTGAAGCCCAACGAGAGGACACAGCAACTGGACCTGAGTTCTGCCCTGGAGACAGTGAAGCCCAACGAGAGGACACAACAACTGGACCTGCATTCTGCCCTGGAGACAGTGAAGCCCAACGAGAGGACACAGCAACTGGACCTGAGTTCTGCCCTGGAGACAGTGAAGCCCAACGAGAGGACACAGCAACTGGACCTGAGTTCTGCCCTGGAGACAGTGAAGCCCAATGAGAGGACACAGCAACTGGACCTGAGTTCTTCCCTGGAGACAGTGAAGCCCAACGAGAGGACACAGCAACTGGACCTGAGTTCTTCCCTGGAGACAGTGAAGCCCAACGAGAGGACACAGCAACTGGACCTGAGTTCTTCCCTGGAGACAGTGAAGCCAAACGAGAGGACACAGCAACTGGACCTGAGTTCTTCCCTGGAGACAGTGAAGCCCAACGAGAGGACACAGCAACTGGACCTGAGTTCTTCCCTGGAGACAGTGAAGCCCAATGAGAGGACACAACAACTGGACCTGCATTCTGCCCTGGAGACAGTGAAGCCCAATGAGAGGACACAGCAACTGGACCTGAGTTCTGCCCTGGAGACAGTGAAGCCCAATGAGAGGACACAGCAACTGGACCTGAGTTCTGCCCT